CCCTGGTTGAGACAAGAGATCCCGAAGAGAGACCGAGATAACTAACATTCTTGTTTTTTTCTTTTCTTTGGTATTATATGCCATGTTTTTTTTGTATTGTATGCTATGTTTGTTTTGTATTGAATGCCATGCTATTTTTGTATTTTTTGTCAAATAAATTCATTCTGTTCTTATTTACTCCATGTCTGTTTTTATGTGGTGGGCTCGAAAGTATAAAAGGCAGGGGGAAAAAGAGGGTATTGTATAATGTGGGGAGACAGTACGAGATGAATTTGGCGTTCAATCACTCCTTTACCATGTTAGTCAGCGTTGGAAAGACGGTCTTTGTACAGACTTTTCTCCAAGCGTTCCTGTTCGATGTCCCTCACCAGCGCACCGTGTGGGAATGGCAAGAGAATTACGATAGCTTGACAGACATTGACGACGAGATGGATCAAGACAAAGGTCCACTTACCTTGGGCGTGAACGATTTGATGAGAGATATTGAAAAGGTGGTTCACGAAAAAAGTCATCTCTACGACACGAGTGTCATTTACATTGTGCAAAACTTGTTCGACAAGTCACGGCATACCATCAGCCTGAATGCCCATTACTTGGTCTTGTTTAAAAATCCCCGAGACGCCTCACAAATTGGTGTATTTTCCCGTCGGATGTACCCCTCCCGCTCCAAGTATATACAGGAAGATTATGCCGATGCGACGAGTACCTCTCGCAGTTACTTTACTCAATGATTTCCACGCGTGGCTGCCCAAATTCTATCGACCAACGCCAAGTATCCCCTGAAGCGCGTGGTGGTCCGATACATAGTCATTCCCGACAATCGCACCAGTCACATCCTAGACAATCTGTTCGTCAACGAAAGCCTGTCGAAGAGATTGGTCGTGGGCATGGTACTCAACACGGCCTACGACGGAAGAAAAAACAAAAAACAAACCAGAAATCCATTCCAATTCGAACACAATCAATTGAAAAATATCAAACTGACCAAGAACGGGGAAATGGTAGACGAATACGATGTGAACTTTCCCAGCGACAAGCCATCGAACCACACCTGGACCTCCCTTTCAACGACTATATTAATGGGTTTACTGTGTATTGTTTCGATTTGACCAACGACCAAGCGGGGGTAACCTGTCTTTGGAACTCAAGTTCGGTGCGGCCCCGACGAATCACCTCAATCTTGTTCTGTTTGCCGAACACGACAATGTCTTGGAAATCGACGCCAGCCAACAAGTCATCACGAGATTTAGAAAAACATCTCCCCTCTAGCGTTGTCGGAGGCGTGTGGGCACGTAATCACCAGGATATACTGCGCCAACAAGTCATCACGAGATTTAGAAAAACATCTCCCCTCTAGCGTTGTCGGAGGCGTGTGGGCACGTAATCACCAGGATATACTGCGCCCGACCCCGTACCTATGCAGAGGCGTAGCCGTGAAATATATATTGGGTGGGGGGGGGGTGTCCGCAAATGAAATTATATAAAATGTTACCAATCTGTGACGCCGGAGGCACGAGGGTGTGCTGCAGCCGATGTAGCGCGATAGGGAGAGAGAGAGAGAGAGAGAGAGAGAGAGTAGAGACTTTTGGCAAGAGTAAATTCCTGGTCCGTGTCGCGTGATTTTAACCATGGCAAAAACTGGAATTTAATCATTACTTTTGATGCGCTTTTCGCGGAATTTTCATATTTTTCCTGTCTGTCTGCACGCTGGTTGATCTACGTGCTAAATTTAGGGAGGTGGGACCTTGCAAATCTGTAAAAGGGGTATATTTTTAATAAGATTCGACATTAATTTTTTTTTTTAAATAACTCAGCGACTGTCGAACGACTTCACTCCCTTTAGGAATTTGTAGGCTACGTTAACTAGTACGGATGTTGATCTTGGTAGATAACTGCCATCATGCTGTAATAGAACTACCCTCACATCAGCTACCCATACGTAGACGGCGCGAAAATCTACCAAAACGATACGGATACGTTATACGGATAGGGAAAATTCCACTTGCCAAAAGTCTCTAATGTGTGTGTGTGTGTGTCTTCTGTAAACACTTTTTTGGCATATTTTACGGGCTTAAACTAAAATATCACACCAATACAATGTTTATCATGTTTAAGTCAGGGGGTGCCGTATTCATATTTTTTTCATGACTTTTACATATTGAATGTTACGCTTGAGTTATGAACAACACGACAAAGAGAGTTTAGTAGGAGAATTTTTATAAGAAGGATCCAAATGAAACAAACCTTGATTGTTAACTACAATACTATATACATATACACATTGACATTTACAAGAAAATTGTATAGATATTTAAAGTATTTTGTACATTTTGTGTATTATAAATGGATTTCAAAAAGTAAACATAAATATTTGTGTTTTAATTTGTACATTGTTTTATACATATAGAATCTTAACTAATCCTAATAATTGTTGTAAATAAATAGGAGTTAGGGCCTTATATGTAAATTTGTGGGGGGGGGGTCCAAGTATATTCAGACCCCCCCCCCCCCCCCCAGAAAAACATAGTTACATGTGACGCCCATGTACCTATGTCATCAACACGGACGACGAAGACAAACCGGGTAGACACTGGACCGTGTTTGTGTGCGAAGGATCAGATCACGTTGTCTTTTTCGATTCCTACGGCTATCCCCCTGATGTTTACGGAAAAGCCTTTCGACGTTTCGTCCGAGATCTACAGCTCCACTACCAATCCTGATGGATTCAAGGACTCGACAGTGTCGTCTGCGTACATTATTGTTTATATTATCTGTGTCACCGATTTCATGTCACCTGTCCGCACGCCCTTTCTGTTTCGGTCACATGTATGGAGTTAACGATATACGCGTCGAACAATGAGCTAGGGATCATTTTCCCGACTTCCACAAGAAGGACAAACAGGTCGATGCTTTTTCGCTCTGTAAATTCGTTTTGTACCGTCCCAACAGAAGTATCAAAGCAAAGATGTCACAAAAAAAAAAAAAAAAAATAGATCAACCACAAAAAGATTATAGGTTTTTCAAGACTTGTGGGGTAATCGACCGGATGCCGGATGCCGACCACTAGTGCGAAGTCGATGTTTCAAACACCTACCATAGAGGAAGCAAACATCTGCTCAAAATGCCAGAAGCGACAACGGTATTAGGAGCATTCGAAGTGTTCCTGTTAGGAACCCTCTCATTGGGAGGACAACGCCCCTTTTCAGGGCCATCATGTTCAATGCAAAAAGAGTTGTTTCCCTCCTGTCCGGATCATGTGGCTAAGTGGGTAAGAAGCTGGCTCGCTAGCCTGGGGGTCGAGTGTTCGATCCCTGCATTTATCCGAGAAAGTTCATCCCGATTTTCCGGCGTGATACAGGACGGAGGGCCTGACAAGGACAGCTGTCTAGTCGTTCGGATGGGACGAAAAACCGGGGTCCCGTGTACACATTGGCGTGCACGTAAAAGGTCCCTTGGAAGTTGGAATTCGATATAAGAGTAGGCCGTACTCTAGTGCAAGATCAGGTCACCACGAACTTGGTCACAGGATAGGCCAGGTCACGACGAACTAGGTTACTAGGTCAGCGCAAGGTCACTCAATGCAAGATCACGGGGTCAAAGGTCAAGGTCAGTGGGACATACAAGCGCCCTACACTACTACCAGGTAGTGAACACTAAGTTTCATCACTCTCCATGAGTTAGAATTCAAGTTATCTTGTCCCAAAGCATCGACCAATGAAAGGCGGAAGACAAGAAGATATTAAATACCAAGGAATGGCATGGAATTTACAATAAAGTCAATAAAATCGCTAGAGGATGACAAGGCTATCATAATGATGTTATTGTCGTATTACGATACCTGATAAAATGACTCCTTTGAGACTAAACTTTACAATCTGTGATTTTTTTGTTCGATTTATACATGAATATCTTCGCGTTATGTGTGATTTCACCATCAATTTAATGTTCTCGGTATAGTCTGGAGTCCAATTACGTAAAACATAAAATTTGCAACTACAGACACGGTTTAATTAAATCCGAGCGTACAATATCATTCACCACGCAGGTCTTAATTGTTATCCAGCATTCGTTTGACCCGGGGGTACAGAGTGTGTGTGCGTGTGTAATAGCTTTATTTAACGCCCGCTTCCACCGAGCTGATATCGCAGACAATGGGGGTACATAGATCATAATGATTAACTAAATGATAAACATGGCGATACACAAATAAACAAGTATTTGCAAATTATTTGCTGAGTGTGTGTGTGGCTGTGTGTGTGTGTGTGGATGTGTGTGTGTGTTGGGGGGGGGGGGGGAGGGGCACATAAATATTTTGTTATTTTCAGGTTGTTTATTTAATCCCTTTAGGTCGTTCGATGTAAGTTTCCTACTTTTCACAGATATAATTTTTTAGCTTGTTCCGGACTGTGACCGAGGGTGTCACCCACATTGCTCTTTTCCCTTGCACGCCACCGCATGACAATTAACTATTTATTTGATGATGACCCTGCTATATGCAATACGCTAACCAACTACTTGGGGTGGCCGTGAACTAAGGAATCGCCTGATCCTTGGCTAAGGACTATCACATATTTAGGCGCCATGGTCTGTTCGATGGATTACATTTTTTATTAGCCCTTCAAGCCATGGTTCCAAATTGTTTATATCACAGACCGGTTCAGTCATCCACCAGTTAACGTTTTCAGCTTGGATGGAGAATTTTCAAAAAGAGTACACTGAGGAAGGAAAATTACGGACATACTTAATTTCTTCTTCTTCGAAGACTCTTGAATAATTTCAACGAAATATGGTAGGGTGCCCCGAACATCCCCAAATGATTCTGATCAACAGCCTTCATATCTATATAATCTTGTTTTAACACAATTCTTTGTTCAGATTGGTATTTACCCGAAAGTTAACCCCATACGTCACAACAAAGTCCCAGGATAAATTCAACCTCCAGAATTAATCAAGGAATGATTTGACCACCCAAGGTGAGACAATAAATAGGAAAGGGAAAATATCATAAAGAATTTTATTTCTACATCATATGTTTTTGTAAATCACAAACAGTAAACCAACAAACATTTGAATTATACACATTGTTTTCCCCATTATTTCTCATCATCAGAAACAATACATCGCAAAAAAAAATTGTTTCATTTGCTAAAAACAAAACAAAGGACATTACTATAAGGAGAAAAACAAAGGACATTAATATAAGGACAAAAACCAAAATGTGTTAATTTCTTCCGAAGGTTCATAGCATTTAAATTCCAGACACATCAACAATTTAAACGGTATTTAAAATAAATATAAACATTATACAAGTAACATCAGTTAATTAAATATATTCCGTTACTCTCTGGGTGGGTGATATGATATCTATATATACTCATAAACTATTTATCAGTACAGTAACAGGCAATAACCATTATTATTACATAAGATAATTCAACATTTTCCCAACATCAAGAGAAAATATCCCTTAAATCTGTGAACAACTATGTACAGATGTTAATAATAAGATAAACAATTAAAATCACAAGAGAGCAGTATATTCATATGCACCAAAGGCATTTATAATAATAATGAGGTTTTGATAACCGGAATCATACGGTATTAAAAATTACCGGGATAAATCGATATAAGAACAATTATTCTTGTTCATTTTCCATAACCGGGTTTAAATCATATTGTAAGTCAGAGAGCTAAAATCACGAATCGTTTACAGTTCTTAACAATACATTATATCTATTTAAACGGTATGAAAGACTGCAGCAGAATTTTAACATTCTGGTTTACTCGAATCTTGTTTTTCAGGAAATAATATACGCCCTCGAAATTCGACATATTAATGGAACGATGACTAGGGAGCTGGGTCCGTGGTTCAATCACAGTTTCAAGCTTTTTGGGCAAAATTCCCATCATAGCACACTGTATGGCGTACGTTCGTCTTCATTAACCCAGTCGATGAGAAAATATAGGTCGTTAAAGCTTTTTGGTTTATACAATATGTGCGTGACAACTAACAATGCAACATACATGTAGTAAAATCCAAATTAAAACAGCTGGATATAATGAATATGTAATGTCAGATATGATGATATATCTATACTATTATTTGTGACTATCAATGTTATCTTGCCGTAAAAACATAGGATCCTTATTTCCAATCTTGATGATACAAAGAACATTTTATAATCACTTTTATACACCGTATACTCCAACCCAAAAGACAATGCGGAAGTAATTAGTAATGGCTGATTAAAAAACTACAAAATAATAATAAAACAAACCAACAGTGAGGCTGATGTCCCCCGCCGAAATCCCAAAATAAATAGATGACACATATTAATTAATCGAACATTTATTTTTTTCAAAAGTTTCGAGCAATCAAACTACACACTAAAGTTCATCACTCTCTATCAGATAGAATCAAGATTATCTTGTCCCAAAGCATCGACCAATGAAATTGATTAGCTCTGCTTAGCTTTAGCTTGAAATGTTAATCATTGAAATCAGTCAAGACATTCACCTAATGAACATCTACATCAGGTTTAAACATTCTACCTCAATTAAAAGCAGAGTTTTTATGTTCCAAAGTCTTGACCAATCAAAATGCTTCTCGCTCCCTGCTTTGTTCGAAAGGCGGGGGACAAAAACCGTGTAGAATGGACTGTGCAGGCGAAAACAACTTCTGTTCAATTTAGACTGTTCAAGTATTTCACCAAACATAAATGATTAGAAATTACAATTGTTTTTTTTTTAAATGGAACATAAATCACTTTATATACATTCATATTACATGTGCTTTCAGACCCATTTCGTCTATTTTAAGATTATAAAGAATAGAGCTATACGCCATTTAATTACTTTAACATTCATCTAATATTACTTAGATAAATCTATTCCGTTTCTTCCTGAAAAGATAACCACTGACATCTAAATAGAGTTTATAATGGTATTAATGCCAGTCAGCTGTATTCAGATTACACGAGCTTAAATTAAAGTGCAGTATTCTACCATTGGACATAATGAATGACTTATAAAATATGGTTAGGTTTAACTAACATTAGCTATGTATGTCTGTAGAGCTCAAGATAAATCTGTCCATTGAAAATATGAGACATATAACTTTTCATCTATATAGGTAGCTCAGCAGCAAATGTCTACGCAACGGATCAATTTACAATGATCCGATGAGTAATTATTTGCAAACAATGCTTTATACTGATTGTAAATATTAGTCTCCATCACGCAGACTACAACTGACACGCTTCTCTTTCGACGCATATAAATTGCTGACATTTGGAAGCGTGTCTCTCAATTATAGGAGCACCGCCCATCACTATTTTATTAGTAATAGTTAATTATAAAAAAAATTGTCGCATATCTGAACAAATATACAAAATTCTTAAAAAACAATATAGATCAAGGTTGTATTTAATAATTATTCACCAACCCCCACCCCTGAAAACATATGATACAAAATTTGATTCAGACCAATGAAATGCCACTCTGGTTGACGCACGAGCTCCCAAACTCTTATTTCAAATAATCAACCGGTATCTTGTAAAGGAGCGGAGTCCATTAGTTTGATCGGGGAGTCGAGTTTATGTAAATTTAAGATGTTGGTTTTGAAAGTATTCAAATTTCGAATAACAGTGTAATCAACAAGCAATAGGGCATGTTGGAAAATGTCACCAGTAAAAATTAAAAACAAAACGGGAGGATGAGGATTCCAGCACCCGCCCACTGCTCTAAGTAACAGACAAAAACGGGAGGATGAACATCCCAGCATCTACCCATGCTTCTACCTCTTGGTAACCCAGTAGTTACAGACAAAACAGGAGGATGTGCATCCCAGCACCCGCTCATTGATCTACCTCTTGATAACACGGTAAAAGTAACAGACAAAACGGGAGGATGAACATCCCAGCATCTACCCATGCTTCTACCTCTTGATAACCCAGTAGTTACAGACAAAACAGGAGGATGAACATCTCTCCTCCCGCCCATGGATCCAGCTCTTAGTGACCCAACAGCACTTAAAATCGATTTAAATAGATGGAGTTTTTACAGATTTGGTTATGTAATATAAACTACAGGAGTCTTGACATAGCATATGGAATCGATAAACATGCAGGAGGTAAGTTCTGTTTCTATTTATCAGATGTAAAAAATCAGATGAACAAACATCAAATGTAATATTAAAGAACCACCGTAGGTAAGAAATATAATTCTATTTGGCAACAATCCTGTGTCAAGCCATTTTATTTTGTCAGTCTATATCTTTTGTATTATTTTTTCTATGAAGGGCAGGATGTTAGAAAGCCTATTATAGCCTAATCTTCAACCCTTCTTAAATAAAGTCATTATTATTCCCCAATCAGTGAAAGTGGCGTTAAGAAATACCAAAGAAGAAATCCCATGTCATCGAGATTTGATTATGGTCTTGTTTATAAATGTCTAATTAATAATTTATATAACATCTAAGGCCCAAAGAAAAACCTGCAATAGGCAGATTTAGCTCTTACAAAATGCCTGTTTAAATATGTAGTCAGTTTTTGTTTATTCTGACATACAATTCTAGCTCAGACACGAGCTTCCGGAAGAAACATAGACCAGGCAAGTTAACTGTTTCTATACAAAACATTATTAGCGCTGACCAGAAATAATACTACCGTATTGCCGTTTCACGGACCACAGTAAATTCTTGACTGATTGAGAAGCGGTTTCAGACGAGTTATTTGCCCTTGCCCCTGAATTTGAATCTTTAGCTTATATGATCATGAACCTAATAAATTAGCCCCAGATTAATGGTATATTTGAAAAGGATTTTTCATGTTACAAGCGTCAGTGTAATATGGACCACATCTGACAGACCAACGTTGATAGCAAGATTTCACATGGCGTGACTGGCAGTGACAAGGAGTATGTTAACTCGGATGATGATATCGTCAGCAACACCACCCTTTTCCAAATTGTTTTTCACGGCTGTGTTTTATCAATAGAATCTTAACGAAAATACAAACGTTCGATAATAAACTGACAATATTGTCTCCATCCATATGTAATGATCAAGGTTCTGGGTGCATATGTAGTGAATAAAGCGTTGGGTGCACAATTAAACAAAGTACACAAGAATCTATCTTCACCTACTGCTATTTTAAAATTAGAGATGATAAAGTGAATCCAAAAGTAATTTTTTAATTTAAAGACATTAAGACTTTATCTGTTTGCGTTTTGCAAATATTTCAATGGCCTACTCTTTTAATGTTCCAATTTTAGCAACTCACAACCTTATCTGAACTCTAGTGCATGCAATTTTAAAATGGAAAACCTGTGTAAATTCTATTATTATTGAATAATTGATGTATTATCCATTCTGATAAACACTACCACAGTTTATCCCAATTAAACATTTATTTCTATAATGGCAGTGAAAATTCAACTATTATGTATCATACATTCTTGGTAATTTCAATCAATTTACCGATAGACACTATCAGACAGATTGATTTTTTTTCTAGTGCAACACTGATAAATCCATACATGCATACTAAAAAGCGTTGCCATGCAACAAAACATGCCCACAGTAGCTCAGACAATCGAGCAGCGCTTAAAGGATGTTTCATTGTGAAGTTTTAGGTATCATCATAATCAAGCTAAGGTAATAACTTTAGAAGATATAATGAAAACTTTATGTAATTGTTATCCATAGCAGAAATTGACAGAAAGAACATACATTTAAATCAAATCAATTGATCACTTCTGCCTTCACTAGGTCCATAATTAACAGAATCATTGAAATATGATAAGTTTATTCATTTCATTAAACTAATTTTTGTTGCTAGAACATTAATAAAATGAGCAAAGGCAATGAAGTCTGAAATAATTAACAAAACTTTGGTAGGCTTCTTTCCATCATAATCTGAACAATGCATATAAATTTCGGACATATAAATTTTTGTGGATAGAGTATTTAGAAGATTCTCTAACTCCAGAAGTTAAAATCAGAAATAGCTGAAATTCAATAGGTTGTATCGTCATATTAATGTGTGCAAAATATATCGGGTAAAAAATGTAGTCTATAGAGTGTTCAGAAGAAATTATGCATGATATACGGACAGACAGACAGTGATCACAGCAATATATTATAACACATTTAAACTAATGAAATTGTTAATAAAACCAATAAATTTCACCAGAGGAAAAACACATTAATTTTTGTAAACAAACGCTGCCATGGAAGACTATTAATAAACTTTTAATTGTAGATATCGTTCCACAGAATAGTTCGTGTTTTTTTTTTTAAAAATGGGTTCAGATTGCTAAATGTCACATATATCTTAATAGGTAGAAAATAGATTTTTATCATAAAATCAGCGACAAAGTAAACTCCTTTTATACATATCATGTTTGTATTTCTCCATATATGGTCAATTTTTAAAGCTGTACTTGTTATTTAAAACTGCAAGTACATACATTGTTGTTGATGTTTATAAAAACCAATCCAAGAATAGTTTTAGAATATATAACTTTGTGAACAATTTGGGTTTTGTTTATTGTCATAAATTCAAGTTTTGATTAGTAGGGATGGTTTTACGAAGAAATGAAATTATTTGAAAACAATTGTGTGGACAAAACACATACACCATATAGATTTATTTTCTAATTTAGATTTGAAAAATTTACGGGTTTAATATCCTTGAAAGAATATATTTTTAAAACATCCATACGTTCATTGATTGAAAATAAGTGGAATAGTGGAGAACAACTAAAAAAATAGATTAACTAGGTATTCAAGTAGAAATATTGATATCAAGACGTGTCATTGCAAACATCCTGATTCAAAATCCAATAACTCTCTTCATTAGCCTAGTTGGTGCAGAAAAATAGGATGTTAAACCCCACTTCATTTCATTTCAAAATCCAATAACCATATTTACATACCCAGTTGGTGCAGAAAGGTATGACGTTAAATCAAATTTCAACTCAAAATCCAGTAACTGTCAGACATGCGTTGTCTCTTCAGTCAAGTAATGCGTTCACTGGGTCATGTAAAGTAAATAGAGTTGGCCGTTGTGTAATCCCACGTGTACTTTCTCAATTCAATTTAGCAACAGGTTAGCTCACATTTACAGATAGAACATGAAAAAATATTGAACATGTCTTCAAGTTTATAAAGCTGTCCTTTAAATTGCTTGTGGATATATCTAGCTAAGGCCTAATTTGAAGCATACTCATCTCAATTCTAAAAACTATCAAACAAATACTGAACATCTGAAGTCATGATCAACTTGGTTGGCAAGGGCGGTATCCATGGTAAGATCAAAGATGCTCTAGGAAAACAGTGGTTCAGTCACAAAATCATTAAACTTTCTCAGACTTAACTTTACCGAGACACAATGAAAATACACCATTGATTTGACTTAAGTGTTGGCGAGATATCCTGCAGCTGAAATGTGATTTTTGGCATGATTGTTGGCTGGACATTATTCTTAATGTAACAACATCCGATCCGACTGTAACTTGTGAGAAGGATGTTTTCACGATTAAAATAAACGCACCAAAGATCAATTCTCCCAAACACAAAAAAATGAATTTTGACAGAATGGGAATGTTGAAAATTACGATTTTATGATGCAAAGCTGGGGTATAAAGTGTGGATTTTAAAGAATTACAACTTCTACAGTTCTGTGGAAGACACAACGATAAAACCAAGATGGACACCTGACAAGAAGGCGTGAATACCAGTCACTGGAAGTCGTATTGCTATGATGCCACAAGCAGTCGTTGTGTGGCTAATAGAGACTTTTGGCAAGCATAATTTCCTGGTCCGTATCGCGTATCCGTATGGATTTTGCGTGTGACGTCATCAATGTCTGTGTATTTCTCATACGTGATACGGCACACGGATACGGCAGCACGTATGGAACGGCTTTCATACGGAAATGGTCCGTATAACACTGTCGTCTTTTTACCGTCTTTTTTGCTACTTTTAGACGCTGAAATGTTGCATCATAGCGTTTTTATGAATCTATGTGTATCCTGGAACACGAAGGTGTATATTTGATGTGATTTTAACAGTGATAACGACTGCAATTTAATCATTATTTTTGATGGGTTTTTCTCGGAATTTTCATATTTTTCCCGCCTGTCTGCATACTGGTTGATCTATGGGCTAAACTTTCTGAAATGATACATTAGTGAAACCAAAAATTGCTAAAATCTGCCAAAACTCTAAAACTACATTGACGCAACGTATCACGTATACGATACGGATACGGGATACGGATGGGAAAAATCCGCTTGCCAAAAGTCTCTATTATGGCAACATTATATGGCGTGAGGAAGACAGACACGTTACTGGCGTTTGTAAACTATAAAATTAATTAAAATTTGATCTCATATCTTAATTAATGGACCACAAACACAGATTCAAATAATTCAAAGTTACATGTATTTGAAATAACTTAAGTTTCCATCCTTTAGGAAGGTGAATTAGGTGTATTATATCACTAATTATATTTAACCACATCTGCACATGTATTTCAAATAATTTAATTTTCTATTCCTTAGAAAGGGGTATTATATCACTAATTTAATGATACATTATGGGAGATTAGATAAAGAGCTGGCAGTTCTCACTATAATAGTTACAAAACTAGATAATGTAAAGGTTATTTGCTGAAAATTTCAGACAAATTTATCCACTCTGAACCAAGAATTTAGCGATCAAATTTTCGGCCTAGACTCGATCATCATTACTAAAGTCGGTACGATAAGAAACATAGTCTCGATTATCCATTTCATGATTTAATGATGAATGAAAGTTGAGAAGCAAATCGGATACAAATCCAGTAAATATAGCAGGCTAGCGATGACATCTCAAGTTGATTATGGTCTGGACAAGTTAATTAATGTCTAATTAATAATTTAGATAACATTTCAGGCCTAAAAAAAGACCTGCAATAGTCAGATTTAGCTCTTGCATAATGTATGTTTAATTTAACCACAGGTGCAGAGTATAAAGGGTAGAAATACAACATTACATAGTAATGGTTCTTTAAAATAGAGACAAAATAGATAACCTCTATCATATGCAGTGCCGGATTAACCATGAGGCAAATAAGGCAAGCACCTATGGGCTAACCAAAAATCCAGGCCACAAAAAATTAAAGTAAAAGCAAACGGTTGTAATCTAGCTACTGAAATCTTATAAATTTTCTGTTGTTAAATTTAACTTTCTTCATTTTATCAGTGAACTGAAAATATCTGTATTGGCACTATCAGATGTATTATGGGTGAAGGCCTGAAGTGAAGGCTTCATGCATCATTTTGTTACTAATTTCTGAGATTGAAATTCTCCTAAAGAAATACAGTGTTTTTGTCCGGTATAATAAACTACTTAAGTATGGTTATTTTAAAACTTTAAAAACTCTGTGATTCTGGAAGATATTTTCAAACACATGTAAATCAACAAAAGATTCTGTAAAATACTTTATGTGGGTACTTTAAATTTTGTTAATTATGTGAATCTAAGATTATTTCTAATATTATATAAAAACAATTAAAATATACATCAACTTTTAGGGTAATTGGTCCTGTCTCTTTTGGCACTCCCTTTTGATGTTATATTAATTCAATTGTGATTTTTGTTTGGTCAGAAACTAAGCAGATAACTTCTTATTACCTAAGTTGCCAGGTAATAAAAAATATGCCCACCAACAGCCAAGTAGCCCAGACATAAGCTGAACTACTCATAAATTTTTTAAAAAGATCAGATAATGAAGCCCCTAAGGTGCTCATAAGATTTGCAACAAACGGGAATAACTCTGGTAGTTAACATACAAAATCATGGAAAATTTTTCATTACTATATGACAAACAACCCATATCAATTTCAAAAAGATATATGGATTGTTGTAACCTTTTAGTAGGGGTAACAAGATATGTAAACAGCAGGCAAGTGGATGAATGGACAGACAGGGTAACAACAATATAACACACCCTTAAAATGTGGACATATGATAATAATTTAATTACTGGTTTATTAATAGTCTAATATTACTGATTGGCACATATATTAACATTTTTAGCCATTTTACCTTCAACAAAACAAGGAAACATTGTGTCGTGAAATAATTAACATTAAACTATAAACGCTTCCTTTAGCTACCACTAAAAATCTTAAAACAAAAATCCTGTACAGCAAATTTATAATTTTGCTACAAGACGTCAATATTTGATTATTTAAAAAAACTCAATTTATTAACATGATCACTGGGTATTAAATCATTATATAACAAACGAACTTGTTTAATAAAACAAGGCATTCAGGCTGAAAAACAAATTAAGTCTCTGTGGGTACACATGGATCAGGCCACAACAATAATCCAATAATATTAAGTAAGCAGCATCGATCACCGGGTTAAGTTTTATTATTTCAGGTTTTTTTCACCTTTTGTCCATAGCTTTTCACAGTTTTTTTGTTGATAGTGGTTAAACAAATTGAAGAGTAAATGTACATGTCTATCATTTTTTTTTGTTTTTTAAAAAAAAAAATAACTCCAATATGGCACGGGTATCAACAAATCTTGATGTTTCTAAACATTCATACACTGTAACACAAATAATGACACTGATAAAACATTTACAGTGTTACTCTAAACCGGAATAAAATAAATTGTTACCAGGAAGAGACCTATTTTCATTGACACAGTTTAATTATATGCTTTCACCTCCGGATACACAATTATACAATCTAGATCTCCGGATACATTGAAATGCAACAATCTAGACATTTAACTTAGAAACTGGGCTGTGTAACATGTGGCTATTTTTACATTTAACCGTGAACAATCCGAACGTTTAATTTTTAGTAATCCTGGCATGTATCGTTCACAGTACGAACATTTAACTTTTGGAAATGCGTATGTATTTCTTTTAACAATCCAGACACTTAAATTTCAGTAATCCAAATATGTAAATTTCTTAAGGATCAAGACACTGCAACCTGAACATGTACCTTTAACAATTCAATGCCTAACTATCAGTCATCTGGACATATCACTTAACAATATGATGCTTAAATTTCAGTAATCCAAACATTACCAATTCGACACTTAACTTTTGTTAACAATCTATAATTAAATCCCACGGCTTAAAAACAGGGTTTTTGTACTGATTTTTTTTTATTTTTATTTTTTTTTAAAACATCTATTTATAATCAACATATTTATAATTTATGTGCCGATATCAGTTTTCTTTTTTTTTTTTTTAAAAACATCTATTCATAATCAACATATTTATAATTTATATGCCGATATCAGTTTTCTTTATATTCACATACATGTATATATAACAAAAAAATTTAAACTTAACAAAGCACTAACAGGGATGTAGATGAAAGTTCAAGGACACCACAAATTATTGCAGCACATGATGATTTCATTAACAATTCAAGCACTTGATAACATCTTTGCACCAAATATAGTCAATAAGACACACCAATAAAATCTCTTCTAAAATCCAATTCCCGACCCTTTTTATATATATATCCGAAAACCGTACATATAGTGCATTAAGAATTTTATAGCACATGGTCCATACACAACTAACATGTGATATGTATAAGGCATTTCCTTATGTATTCTAAGTATCTATGTATAATATATGATAGTTATCTGTCCCTATATACAATATATAGACTTTTGTATTTATCATAGTTTATGATTGTGGTTTCAATGTTTTTAGCGGCCATTTCTAGTCACATTTAGTATTGTCACAATAAGTACTCCCTGATGATTAAAGTTAACAAAAATAATGGATAAAATATAACCCTGTGAATCTATTGGTTCAAGTTCTTGTTAATTTACATATCAATTATCCTGATTGGTTCATAAAGGATGTTGTGGTTTTTTTGTAACAGTTATCACGATTAGCCGAGTTCACTTTAGATTAAGTATCTCCAACATTATTGGTTCAATTTCTGCAGGATCAACTTGTAGAAGTACTTTGGCATGGTTATCGCTGATTTTCTTAATTTCGTATATTTTTGCTAATATGGCTACAAAGTAATTCTTTGCAAATTCAAACGAGTATTCATGCTCCAGATAATGTTTAAGCAATATAAGGTATTTATCTTGTACATTGGACATCTCGTCTCGTGCCCGTATATTTTGGGCATCTGGGTTGAAGATTATTAGAGTTTGTATCAAGGCAAATAGTTTTGTATTGTTATTGACAATCGATTTCAAACTACGGCAGTATTTTATGTGGCTGTCATATAGGTCGCCGTGTCGAGTTGTGGTTTTGAGTACTTTTGTTGATATCTCACCATTTGGCGTCATCCATGAGTCTCTTTCAACAATATAGAATGCCACAGATCGAAGCAACAAAGTATTTACAACAGATGATTTCAGCGAAGCAATCTGATCTTCTTGATTTATTCTACAAAAATCAGCCATTTTCTTCACAAATTTAATCAGACGTCGAACAGCAAATTCTGAATTGTTGACCCAACTGCTCACCGTATTAAAATGACTTTCATCTTGCTTGGGATCATTTTTGGGTAAAGAACTACCAACTGTTTCACGATATGCAATTGTAATTTCTTCCAGTAATTCATGTTCTTCTGGAGTTAGTTGGCGATATGATGTTGGATCTGTGGGCATCATGGACTCTGGAATGTGTTCAAAAAGATCAGCTGGACTGGGGGCATTACTGGATTGTGAATCCATGACAGATGATGAACAGGCATTTGAAGAGTCGGCCATTGGTTGCATATCATAGTCCAATGGTTCTTCTTTTATCATCACTTTTCCCCTTTCTTCTCGTTTCATTCTGTTTTCAGTTACTTTTGCCATTCGGAGACGTTTTTCATGTTCACCTACAAGTAGAAAATATAGTATTATATTTCTTGAAACTCAGATTTGTTCTTACCAGATATTTGAATTTGAACATAAATTTACTTTATATACATGCTTTGCACTCTAATTCTTTAAAACCAGAATAGGTCAGATTGCTGATTGTTGTGACTATTTACGAAGGCTATTTCACAAATTTCCTGCTAATTTAGTGTTAGTCAGTTTCTAACAGGAGCAGAATTATTCTATTAAAGATTCATTATATACATTTAAGAGCTAAATCTGCCCATCGCAGGTTGTTATTTTTGTTAGAAATGGGGTTTAATATCAACTCGACACAAACTAAGTCATTTTGGGACTAACACATGGTTCAATTTCATTTCAATAATTCGCTTGCACATAGGGGTCTTTAGCAGTGGGGGGAAACCAGAGGACCTGGAGAAAACCGATGAGGTTGGACAGGCGACCCTACTCCTTATCACATACAACCGGGGATTCGAAAACTACACCAGTGACGGACCCTATGCTAAACATTCGGCCATCAAACCCCCCTTCAAATGTTACATAAACTATTATTGAGACATTCCTATAATTAACTCTTTCTAGACCATCAGATGGCCGTGATTAACATAGATAAGAAAACCTGTTAGATTAATACATTTAACGATAAAATTCTTAATCAATTGTCAAGTACCGTTTCTATGATAATAAACAATCTACGTCTTCAAACAATCATAATTCCCTTCAGAATAAAGTAATTAGAATGAAATTTTCAATATATTCCCTATCTATATTTAAATTATTATATCAAGAACTGCCAGCTCTTTATCTCAATCTTACATAATGCATCTTTAAATCAGTGAACATTTCCAATTTATGTAAAATTTGGTAAAATAACGATAAACAATTAAAGTTGTGTTATTACGTAGAAGAATATTAGAAATTCTTTAAAAATTACAATTATTCTAAGATCTATGACATTATGCAATATTTCTCTTCTCTAAAAGAACATACAACTTTCATATATAGGTGAAATAAATGTTGTTTTCATATACAGTACAGGTGATCCTGTCACTTTATTAGACAAGTTAATGTCACATCCCCAGACAACTGAAGTTAACCATAAAAAGTATGGACATTTACTATGACTATAATTACTATAGCTACTATAAAATTAACCAAAAGATCACTTAATACACAGAAAACAAATTTAAAGGAGTCCATTGTATGGCCTTTACTTTACAATTTTCAGGGAATATACCTCCCACAGATTAGCAAGATATTTCTTTCAAAGAATACAACAATGTTTGGCATTATCCCAAAATTTAAAAAAAAAAAAAAACTTTTTGGAGTGTTTTACCTCATAAAAACTACATGAAATAAAATGAAATGGGGTTTAACTGCCTACTGTTCTGCTCCGAACTGGGCTAATGAAGACGGCATACGCCATACAGTGTGCTATGAGGGAAATTTTGCCCGGACAGCGGCACTACGGCCTACTCTTATACTGAATTCCAACTGTCAAGGGATCTTTTATGTGCACGCCAATGTGTACACGGGACCTTATTTTTTTTTGTCCCATCCGAGCGACTAGACAGCTGTCCTTGTCAGGCTCTCAATCCTGCATCACTGACAAGTGGGACAACACTGGAAAATCTGGATGAACTTTTTTGCCTATGCAGGGATCGAAAACCTGAGCTCCTGGCTAGCGAGCCAGCATCTTATCCACTTAGCCACCGTGACCCCATAAAAACTACAAATTTAACTGTAATTATTGTGGTTTCAGGTTAAATTCATTGAAATTCTAATTTCATGACATGTAGAGTTCTTCAGTCAGACAATTTCCCTACAAGTCAGCCAAGACAAGCAAATATGACAAACTAGAGCCCTGGCCCATCACTTCAAATTGAGATAAATTATAGAATTCCAAAGAAATGGATTTGAAAATATTACTGGATTTGAATTTGAACCGGATATGGATTTAATTTGAATTACAAAAGAAAATATCAAATCTGTGTTTGACATTTTTTTTATGGTCCATTAGTAGGACCTACATGTACATAACCGACAATAGATTATTTTTAGTTAAAAATGGTACACAATAATTTTCCAAGTCTTACATGAATTGAGAAGATTACAAGGTCTTTCTCAACATGAGCCCATTACAATTACAGGAATTTGTGTATGTGTAAGGAATGAAAACATTATGGCATAACCAAATGTGGAAGTAAATAACGTTAATAATTATGGCATAAGATTTAATTTTTTTTTATAAAAGATGTACCATGATAGAAGGCCTATTACTGTAGACCAATGATAGTAGGTCTATCATTTAATCAAGTCAAACAGAAATATCTACCCAAGATATAAATATAAAAAAAATATGTAGGTTAGACTTTGATATGGTATCTGACACAAATCATATATTTTGTTCTGAAGAGTTCAATACAAACAAAACTAGTCAATGACACTCGAGATAACCAGGTCTTCATTGCCACTCTTATCTCTTATATTATCTCACTCTCTGCTTACGATCTCGTTATGGCTAATTTTGTCGATCAAATCAGTCGGTCGTGATCCCCCTTTTGCCTCGGAATCAACCACTATTTTGACGGAAGATAATCTCTCGGCTAAAAAATCATTATTCTCTCAGCTACAAGAGATAATTAAGTAGAATCAAAGCGGTCCATAGCCGATCAGGATGATAAGAAGTCGCTCGGTCAACAATGATACATAACCAAAGGTGAACAGGCCTACCTGTCCAGTTAATGCAATGGACAATCTCACTTCAGTCCACAAAAGAGAGACACATACTAGTCGCCTCCCACTTCCAATTTCCAAGACATAGCCCAAACATTGACTCTTATATAAATAAACCTTTTGGTATTAATTTGTACCTACATCATATTAAACTCCTAGGGTGCCATGTTGAATTACACGGTATTTAACGTTTTAAAATCTAACTACTTTATGGAATCAACGACAAATCTAAACTTGGGCACCCAAACCATTTTTATTTTTGTTTTACATATATATTGTTCACAGTGGCAGAGCATACAGATGATGAGACAATTTGAATATAAACTAATGCAAACATTAAATGGTCATAACTTTAGAATTACAAATACTGTATCTGATTTGAAGAATATGGTTTTGGTAGGAATGTATGCTTTTACACGACTCTATAATTAATCTTATCACTTTGTAACTTTTAACCTATTTAAGTCAAGCTCTCTTCAGGTCATTGTTCCCTTAAATATAAGTTATTTTCAATTCTTTGTTTCTTCTACATAAATGTCTAGTTGGCCAAATACAGAGAAGAATTATTCACAAACGACATGTATATATAAATAATATATATATAACATCAATAAAGATTACAGAGAAATGGGTCATATGTCACATGCTATATATAGCACAGAAGACATGTTTCATCATGTTGAAATTCTCTTGGATTGTCATGAACAGCAATTGGCTGCCACCCTGGCAATACAATTTATAATCTCAAAGCATAGTTCACTGGAGGATCAGTTTAATTGTTTGTAGAATAAGCATGTATTTTATTTATTTTTCTAATTTCAACTACATTCTAAGACACTCGGAATAATTTCCACAATTAGATAAGTTATCTGAATGTAAACTTCAATCAGAATATGTGAGAAAGCGAATTAACATCTGTTGGGTGGCCCACCTCTTCATTCAGTGCATGTGATCACCTAGAGAGCTAAAGAACGCTGCACAAATTTCTTTCCTTGCATAGCAAAGACCTATTAATCCAACCACTAATAGTAATTGTCCCCACATGACCTTGCACGAGGAGGAGTTATATTTTACAAAATTCTTCAGTGTAAAGTATGTCTTATCCTTTCCATCTTTAGCATTTTTTGAATGGGTCATGATCAATAGCTTACTAACGAGTTGCCCAAAATCGTGTTTGTGAAATTGAAAAACTATTCATTCCTAAAACTTGTCTTCTGTCTAATTTACTGATGAGTTACATATGAGTAGACTGACCTAGTCTTGAAACGCCAGAGAATAAAGGCCATAATAATAATAATCATATCTCTAGTTGTATCAAATAGTATTTAATATGGACTTATCATTGCAGCTTAGTTTCCTAAATTCTCATTAAAATCTGTTTTAAATTTAAGCATGGACTGACTGGCTAGCAACAGATTTTGATCTGATTGAAAATACAATACAAAATAATCCTGATATAAATTTTGACTCCAGCTTATCATTTTTGCTAATTAAATCAACCAAAAATTACTTAAAATAAATAAGGTAAGGACAGGTTATTGTGTATCTATTTGAAACATTCATGGAGTATAGCATGAATATGAGGTGACATTTTTCTCAGAAAAGATACAGTGACTTGTAGGATTTATATAGGATTTATATATAGGCTTTAGTGTAAGTTATCTTGTATTATATCTTGAAGCAAAATGTCTTAATATGTCTTATATTTTCGAGAGATATTAAACCAAATGTGGTTGACTATAAAAGTCAAATCTAATAAACCACCTGCAGGGAAAAACACAATTTCAATCAGATATTTCTACCTATTTTTCTTTCATATTTAGAACATTTTGATAGCTTGTCATCTAGTGTGTGAGCACTTATGAGACATTGGCCAATCAATACCAGCATAGTTTCAACTTGTCACCATTTGACAATAACATTACCAGTGTTTTCAGTGGAGGTAAAATACTTTGCTCTATAGGCCTATATTGGAAAGAGATTTAAGGGCGTTGCCATGTCTAAACTATGGTAACTTCGCACTTAATTTTATATTTTTTTTCAAACTCTGCTCCACATGAATTTGGTGTGATCTTTAAATAGACATTTGAAGTTACGATTCAAGTCATAGTTTGGGCACATATCTCTTGTGGTTTTAAAGACATTAAATTTTGAAATCAGCTGAAAAATGATCTGATCTGAATTAAATAATTTTTGGCATGCAAATACCTAAGCTAGTGGTTAATAAAATTACAGGAGTGTTTTTTCATGGTGCCAATAGTAATGCCATAATTCCAGAAAATCCAAAAATTTCATAGGTCATTATGTAAACTGGTCTGAAATAAAATCTATTTCAGATAATCACAAGCCATCCCATTAAAATGTTCCGCCAGATGTAAGCTTTATTTGACGCCAAGTTTGTTAAAATCGATTGAGTAGAACTTAGAATTTCTTCATCGTTTTCCTTGGTTTACACAAAAGGTCCTTTCGATTCGTGACGTATTCGTGTAATAAGTAATGCGATTTGTAAAAATATGGACAAAATATTATGAATTAGCAATGAGTAGACTTTGCTGCTCCTGTCAGTGTATTTTATGAAAAAATAATGAGAGATCTTAGTCCCACAAAACAAAGAAAACGAATAGAGCCATTTTTTCATTATCGGCAGCTGTAAAAAAGACTGGTTATTCGAGATCGAAGGAATTCCCCCTAGCACAGTTGCTGTGTACCCGAAATGACCAAAACGAGGCTACGGAAGCATATTTCTATACAGAAACAAAGAAAGACAAGCTAAAATACCGAGATGTTCAACACAAAATCATATACTATTTTTAGATCAAACAAGGTCAGTGATTCCCTCCCTTTGACCAAGGGGAATCACGTGGCTAAGTGGGTAAGACGCTAGCTCGCTAGCCTGGAGGTCGGATGTTCGATCCCTGCATTGGCCGAGAAAGTTCATCCAGATTTTCCGGCATCGTTCTCCCTTGTCAGTGATGCAGGACGGAGGGGTTGACAAGGAAAGCTGTCTAGTCGTTCGGATGGGACGAAAAACCGAGGTCCCTTGGCAGTTGGAATTCGATATAAGAGTAGGCCGTAGTGCCGCTGTCTGGGCAAAATTTCCCTCATAGCACACTGTATGGCGTATGCCCGTCTTCATTAGACCAGGTTAGGAGCAGAAAAGTAGGACGTTAAACTCCATTTCATTTCATTTCCTTTTGACCAACTATCCTGACATATCCGGCGAAGTCAACATTTCGTTCTGTTAATGATTTATGTTTTTAGGGGAAAAAGAGACAGGTACTAAAGTAAGAACCTACAGTTTTTAATCTCACTATTGGTACTTACTTTTCTGGCATGGACTACCAGGGGCCTGTTTCACGAAATTTTAACTAAGATAAAATCCAAATTTTAGTAATTTGATTGGATAATATTAGATTGATTTTAGTGCCTAGCCAATAAAAATTGAAGTATCTACTAAAATTTGGATTTTATCTTTAGTTATGATTTCGAGAAACAGGTCCCAGGCTTTTACAACAAGATACAGACAATAAGGAAAAGTCATATTTGAGCAAAATCTATTGGAACAATTATCTTTGTATCTGTCAGAATTCAATATGGGGCAACCACTTTTGGTGTTTGCAAACATAATTACCGGTAGGCCTCCTCAAAATTCTTGTCAGCGCTCAATAAAACAGCCACAATTTTGGCAAGTTATCTCATCATTCCAGAGAAACGAGCTTGTTCTATGTATGCTAAAAATTCTTTCCGTCAATAAACGGTTGTGTAATATTTACCCAATATCATGTTCTCCTTCATTCCAATATCAAGGCACTTTTGCAGACGACAGCAAGGACAGAATCGTCTGGTCCTGACATCTATTATGCAGTTTCCTCGGAAAAGGCACTTCATTTTCTGGAATTAAATTACGAATAGTATTTTATTTATAAATAAGCATAAAGTTAAGTATAAATTCCACCCAAAACGCTGAATATTTAAATTTTTTAATATAATTTGTTTAAGGGCATACACATGAGCAAGTTTCATAAATTCTATAAAATGATTGACATTATGCCAACCAGGCATTTTCACACATCTTACTATCTCTGAATTTAAAGGGGTGTTAGATCATAAGGTCTGTTATTAGTGATGGTCCGATATGGCACCTATTGGTTTTACCGATATCACATATTGACAGTGAAATATATCTGCCGATATAGATACAATTACCGATAGGGGTGGATATAAAACTATTACACATTAAAATGCCTCAAATGGCATGGAAATCTATATAGATATATGTCATTGTTAGTCGGGAAACGCATGTTACTAAAGTCGAGATTATCATATTTTAAGTGTTGATTATGATATACGATATAATTCCCTTGAGTGATCGGCACCTGTATGTCAATAATAGATGTCGGAATGGTTCATGCGGTAATGAATGAAACATCAAAGCGATAGCTTCCTGACCTGTCAACAGTGGCAATCACGTGACATTCTACCCCCATTTCTAGAACTATAGTTAAAAATAAAACCATCTAATGGAAACTCATTTGTTGGTAGTATGATCTATATTAAAAGTTATTATTTAATGATACAAATTATGTCAAAATTTGACCATCATGCAATTGGCTTATTCCCTATTCCAATCAAAAGGTTTATCGGTTAGACTGTTGTACATTAATGTCTGTCTGTACATGTGCAAAAATGGTATTCTCAAAAATTGGACTGATAGAACCGAACTCTCAAACAGTGTGAATAAGGATTTAAAAAATAATGGAGACCAGTAAGGATTTTGTACTGTTTATTCTGTCCTTTTTACAACCCCTATGGGAGTCTTGTATTACTGGTACGTCTAAATAGCAACTCACACGGCAACCAAAATAAAACTTTTATTTTGGTTGCCGTGCGTGTGTGGGGGGGGATCACATGGCTAAGTGTGTAAGATGCTGGCTCGCTAGCCTGGAGGTCGGATTTTTGAACCCTGCATTGGCCGAGAAAGTTTATCCAGATTTTCCGGCGTGGTTTCCCCTTAATGTCAGTGATACCTTACAGAGGGCCTGACAAGAACAGCTGTCTAGTCCTTCGGATGTAACGAGAAAAAAACGTGGCCCCGTGTATACATTGGATTCACGTAAAAGAACTCTTGGCAGTTGGAATTTCCCTCATAGCACACTGTATAGGAGCAGAACAGAAGGACGTTAAACACCATTTCATTTCATTTCATTTCTGCCGTGCGCGTGGCTATTTATATAATGGAGACCAGTAAGGATTTTTCATTGTTTAAAATGTTTATTCTTTCCTTTTTACGTCCCCTATGAGAGTCTTGTATTACTGGTACATCTAAATAGCAACGTGTGCGTGGCTATAAAGATGCACCGTGTGTCAAGCAAAATAATGATTTGTTCACAACTCGGTTAATATTTCAAAGGTAATTACAGAGTCTTTTATATAACAGCTATCGGCAACTCAAGTATCGGCAAAATGGCCGTGTATCGGTCCGATTTCTCCCGATAGGCCACCTATCGGCCAATTACCAATGTTCAAACCGATTATCGGACCATCACTATCTGTTATTGAGTCAAGTGGCATGGCTAGATTCACTGCCTGTACAAGACAAGGAGTAGGATCGCCTGTCAAAACTCGTTTTTCTCCAGGTCCTCTGGTTTCCTCCCACTGCTAAAAAAGCCCTCCCCACGTAAGCCAATTATTGAAATAAAATTGAACCATATGTTAGTCCCGAAATGAACTAGTTTGTGTTGAGTGGACGATAAACCCCATTTCTTTCTCTCTATCTCTGAATTTACCAGTCCGAAAAATATTTTCAGAAAATACATCTACGTCAACTTTTTAGTGTTTTACACAAGAAAGACTACAATTTTAAGACTGTGTTTCTGGTGTTTTAACCCTTAACCGGTCGCCGTCATTTTGAAGTTATGACATCAAGTGGTCAGGCTAAATAAAGGCTGACGTGAAATATTTTGTATGCCTATTTCAATCGACTACTGCCGAATAATTATAAGTGATAGACTCTTGACACCAATAAAAAAGTTGCTGGGGATAAGTTGATCTATAATTTGCAAATCATTCTAAAACCTTTTCATCAGAAATATCGTCTTCAGAATCGGTGTCATCGATATAATCCAATTCTGAATAATTCATAAGTATTTCAACCACTTCGAGCATCTTTAACGTTCCCAACACCGTTAAATTACGTTTTTCGTCAAAAAATGTTGAACAAAGACATGATTTTCTCAATGCCCTTGACAAGACAAGTTCCTGTCTGACACGCATGCGTGGCCATATCAATTAAATACAAAACTAAATACTCAAATGCGGCTTATAAAAAATAACGTTGTGGTGACTATAGTCGACAATGACCGGTTAAGGGTTAAGCTGTGTAATGCTCACAAATAAGCTTAATTTGTGTCATGTAAATTGTCTGACATAGTTCAATTTGTCAGTTGGTCAATTTCAATACATATAGACGTCCATCACAAACCAAATCATCTAGACAACTATGGGTTTCAACAACTGGATATTCCCAGGAACAACAATGGTCCTTTCCAGCCAATAGGTAATGGTTCTACTACCTTTTAGGCCACCAATTAGATGCCTTTCCGAATATCTTTAAACCTTGCGGATTTTTAATAAATCATAAGATAATTACTCATAGCAGTAGTATAATATTAAATATAATTAGATCTTCTGTTAATGAATCCTTTTTCAATGCCACTATTTGTAAATAATCAATGAGACATCTGCGGTGGTGAAATGAAATGAGGATTAATGTCCTACTGTTCTGCTCTGAACTGGGCTAATGAAGACGGGCATAAGCCATACAGTGTGCTATGAGGAAAATTTTGTATGGACAGCGGCACTAGGGGCCTACTCTTATATCGAATTCCAACTGTCAAGGGATCTTTTATGTGCATGCCAATGTGTACAGGGGACCTCGGTTTTTCGTCCCATCCAAACGACTAGACAGCTGTCCTTGTCAGGCCCTCCGTCCTGCGTCACTGACAAGAGAGACCCATGTCGGAAAATCTGAATGCACTTTCTCGGACAATGCAGGGATCGAATATCCAACCTCCAGGCCAACGAGCCAGTGTCTTACCCGCTTAGCCACCGTGATCCCCCCATCTACGGTAGATGTCTTATTGACTCTTTACAAATAGTGGCATCTTCATTAACAGAAGATAAAATAATTGGCAATAGTTTTTCCAATCAAAAAGTCAAACTGATGGATAATCAAATACCAAGATATAATTTGATTGATGTCAATATCAGCTTTGTGATTTGATAATACCAATAGATACATTAAGCAACTGGGACCATGTAAAATTAGGAAACTGGAATACTTATTGCCTTGAGAATATTGCCTGCCATAAAACAAAATCTAAATATAACTTATCAAACAATGAAATTGATGTTATATCAAACGCATACTGAGTTACATGTAGGCTAAATCTGGATGTATTTATAGGCTATACACACTTACAAACTTGTATTATATCTATTTACATATATATTTGTTAATCGACATAAACAGGAATGGAACAGGGGTTTATTATTTCATTAACTCATTAGTTCTAATCTAAGGAATTTTACAGTCTCCAGATTCAATTTGGAAAATACAAATATTGATACAATTATATCATTTACAGTGCTGTTTATGTAGTGAAATGGAGGTCTATATGTGTATACAAAATGATCATGTGATCAATCACCTCAGACATGTAACAGATCTTTGGAGATTTTACCACTTTAAACAAACCACCCCCCTCCATGCATTTTCAGAAAATGTTATCCACATTAGGGGCATGTTCAGGAGTTAAGAGGTTTGGGGGATTTGCCAAAAAATTCATAAATTCAGAAGTTATGGGACAATTTTTCATGTACGAAAAAAACAATATGGTCTGCAGTAGAGGTGGATGGTCAGGATATTTCGCCCCCCTCATCTGGGCACATGCTTTACTCAAGAGCCTCAAATATTCTTAGGCAGCCTTGATTTTGAGACTAACATAAAAGATAAAATTAGTTCTATGGTTCTGTGATATAGTCTATAATTCCTATATAACCATTTCAATACTACGTGAAATAATGACCAACCTTTTTCTTCAAAGCATTTCTTCGAAAGAAGGCCTTACAGGATTCACAGGTAATGGCGTTAAAATTATAACCTAAGGCTCGATCTCCACATACACCACACAATTTGTCATCCTTGCTTTTTAACCGTTTCCGCGGATGCTCATGTTCATCCATGGACATATCATGACAATCATCACTCTCCCCTAAATCCTGAAATGTGTCCAGGCTTTCACTACCAGATTCTGACATCTGAAAAAACAAAAAAACAAAATTTAGTTCAATCGGATATTAAATTCATACAACCACATTTCAATGTAATTTAGTAATCATTAATGTGGCTGTAAATTAAGATGTTTTTTGTGAGAAACAGTTTTACCATGGACCTTATGTATTATAAGGTCCATGATTTTACTAAAAACTTTCTCCATTTTTTATTTGTCATTAAGGCAGCTTTTCTTTCTAGCAGCAGATATATAATCTAATGAATTAAAGGACTATTGGGTTTTATGAATGAAAAATATAATTTCAAGCAGAAAAAAAGTAAAATTTTCATTCATATTATAGTTCTTCTTCAACACACACTTAAATTTGATATAAAATCTAATTGGAATTTCTGAATAAATTTTTTTTTTCAAATGGCCAAAGAAGTAAAATCAAGCATTAGGGAAATTATAATATTTTGTAAAGGAAGATCCTGTAACACTATGACTAATACAATACTCTTATTGATGTAAATAAAGTACAGCAAGATTTGATCTCTTACAGCAAGTGCAGTCATGTTTAAAGTACATTTAACATAATTTTGTTCAAAGTAAAGTGGAACTATAGTAGCTTGCAAATTCTTTTTGAGTAGAGCAGAATCCTATACCTTAACGGTACAGTAATAATTAACTTAAAATTTGTTCAAAGTAAAAAGCAGAATCATAGACACTTTTATTTTGTAATTTTATTGATGACAAATGGAGTACTCTTTAAAATGTGGTCATGTTAAATGGTTAGCAATAATACAGGAGTTGGTTACCATTGATTGACCATATAAAGCAACATTCTTGAGTTGTCAGTAAGCATATTTATTTTATGATAACCTATTACAAATACAGAGTGGACCAAGTTATTTTATCACCCAATAATACATTCTACAGTAGATATCGCTTGTGCGATATATTTCATAATCTACTGCGATATCTCCTTAGGAGATATCGTTTTACAAGCATTTGATTGGTCAGTTGAAAAGGAACTACTTTTTTTTATTTTCAAAGAACAGTTCATTTCTTATTAAAAGTAACTTTTTTTTTTATTAAAAATGAACTATTGTTATTCAATTGACCTTGATGGAAACACTGGGTCAGTATAAAGGACTTTGCAATGGTTGAATTGCTGTCAAAAAATGATGTATCACTGCGCTGTAATGTTCAGTAAAAGTGAAATCTACAGCAAAGAATTATATTTATCTATTTGTGCATGTAACAAGGGATTGAATGATAAATAAAATCTCCTACTCGTCTTTTTTGATATACAAAAATATCAACACTCGTTAATAAAGTAAAAAAAAACTCGGCAGAGCCTCGTTTTTTCTTACTTTTTTAACTTGTGTAGATATTTTTTGATATCAAAAAAGACTGGTAGGAGATTCTCTATATATACCTTTCCATCTCGATTAATAACAAATTCTATTTTCATTTGATTTATGTCCCCCCCCCACCCCTACCCTACCCCCAAGTTAAATAACCAAACATCAAATAAAACAAAACAAATTGTATAATAATACAGCACAGATGATTCAAAATGTCAAAGCACATACTGCAAATTGGCAAAATAACTTGAATGTAAGGCCGCGGTTAATTAATTAATTGTTTGTTTCTCATGACCCATCCGCATGTCCATTTTCATCCGTAATAATTACGCACTACAATAATTAATTGGTCAAATTTAGGGAGGTCACAAATTCGTCCTGTAAAATTTGTAAAACTATATTTGTTTACCTTCAAATATTAACAATGAATTGATTGACGCATTAAAATCCACTATTCATCGATAAACATGACACTGTAGAACGTGAAAAAATATAGGAAGTCCATACGTGAAACAGGAAGTTAAAAAAAGGGTATCATATCTGTCATTCTGCAGCATTTTCTTTCACCAAAGATAACATACATACTTCATAAGGCACTTGACAACTTGTCAATTGTAATAAAAGCTAAAATATTTTATTTATGTGACTAGCACTCTGTGACCCGTTCCAAAAATGCTGCCATGAGGCCTACCGACTGATTGACACTACTTCACGTTTTTTTTATGAACACTCTATAAACACAGTCTAAAAAGGACACAAAGATATTTATAAATGTGAATATTTTAATGAAGATAGACAGAATCATAAAAGTATTTATATTATCACCATGCCATGTGCCGATGGGGTCAAAGTTAAAGACAATTAACATATACAGGGTTATTGGCACTATCTTCCTTCACGGTTAGAGAACCGAACACATGTGTAATAAATTCTTTGGACTGACATGTTAAATAATCTAACTTATGTTGTATTCAAAAATCCAAAGGTATGCTTTTAAATATTTATGTCAGAACAAATCATCAACCTGATTGGAACAGTTAATTTCATAACCTATCAAAGTTGGGGAAGATAAAGAAATGAAATGCCAAGAATGAATGAATTAACGAATGGTTAACTTAGAAGCGTATCACTAATAATTTAGACCTATTATTCTTCCGATGACCGGCTACTTTGCAACATATATTTTAATCTATAAAATTTTTATTAAATGTGAATAAATCGTGAACGCCAGTTACCGTTGAGTTTTCAATGACCAAATAACCAACATTAGTTATTGCGGAAATAGAAACAGCATTAAACTCAAAAATGTTCAATTCAATCTCAATAATTAATAATTACCTCATGTAGCATGTATATTTCACAAACACAGGTCATGAGAAACAAATAATTAATTAAATGCGGCCTAATATATACCCAACCCTTTCTTATATGGTATTTATGGCCATTTAAACACTTGAAGTAATTTTATAGCTGGATCCCAATAGTACTTTTAGCCAATGTGGGTCAAGCTAACCTTGAGGCAGATCACTTACATGTAGGGTAATGTATTTTGTGACATACATTATCAATTGTGCCAGTGTTGACGGATCTATAAAAATCTATAACAATACCACAATACCACTTTATGGTGACACATCTAAGACTTCTTCTATCTCTGATAATAACAGCAGATTTGATTAAATAAATACTTTGTAACTAAAAATGTAATAAAAATTACTATAAATTTTAACAAAACAATTAATGTTTCTTTTAATAGTGGGGAAAAAATACTTAAAGGAAGTAAATTTAAATTTAAAGGAAAATCTGTCAAAAAAATGGAACCCAACGCGAGCACTGATAAAATGTCATAAAGATAGGTTGTCCGGGGGGTGTTCACAAGGGTTGTCGCAAATTTCAGTCAAATTACTTTATTCTAAGCAAAGTTATGAATGTTGGAAATTTTGGTATGAAGAGCATAGTCTTGATTTTTGATTGCTACCTCTTGTTTTCATTAGTCCAGCCGGAGCAAACATTAGGACATTAAACCTCATTTCATTTTATTTCTACCCGTGTTAAGATAATAAACAGTCTTGATTATCCATTTTAAAATTAAATCATTAAATGGCGATTGTTTCAATCCATAAAAAATCTTGACCATCCAATGGCCTAAAGAGTTGATTATAGGCTTGTCATGTGAATAAAAGTCTAAATCTACATATTTCTCATTAAACCTTTGACTTCATTGCACAAGTTCCATTTTAACACCATTATTCCCAAATGCACTGACTCTCCCCCCCCCCCTTTATACTACTGCTTCCAAATTTATTGTAATATTCTTCAGCCAAATAAATGAGACAAATGAGTATATTGCCTTTTGTTCAACCTTGATCTGGTTTACATAATTAAAAATTGCAAATGTAAAAGTTCCAGTAGATAAAGTATCTAATTATCTCCCAGTGCCAACATTTTTCAAAATGAATAACATTTCAAAATTCCCTTGGTGATATCACATTTTCTTACCGTGTATTCTTAGCAAAAACACATCAAACGACCTAGACTTCCCTGTATCCATTTTCAATAAAACAGATACTTGATAAAAGTCTATTAAAATCAGAAGCATTATTTCGGAATCGAAACTAGGTTATTTTGACAAAATGACAGACCATATGGTTTAAAGCACATACGTTAGACAACTAGACTACTCCCCCCCCACCATGCATTAGACAACTAGACTACTCCCCCCCCCAAGAAAAAAAAGTAACAATAACTTGTCTCATGCACATTTTTTACTTCTTATAACAAAACAGTTGTAAACAAGTTTTCATTAATAATGACCCTGATATATAAACAAGAAGACCACATGTTTTTTTTTACCTATAAAGTTATCATCAATAACGACCCAGATATATGAACAAAACCACATGTTTTTTTACCTATAAATCAAAGGAAAACTGTTCTTCATTTTTCCTGTTAATCAGCTATTATGGTAGCAGTCTACCAAAACATGGTAGATACCATAATAAAAGGTTTAATGAGAATTCCAGTTTATAGCTTTCTTCTGATCTTGGAAATCAGATGGAATTACTTTCATCTTTTACAGTCAAACCAGATCTACTTTTTAATTAAAATTTCATTTAAATGACTAGATCATTCTTAATCTATGCTAGACATGAAAGTTGATTTTGTTGAATTTTGAATTCAAGTGGAGTATATACATATATATTGTCCAGCATCATTGTATGTATATCCTCTAACAATTCGGTTTGTGATCTACTTCTTGCAGACACATGACAGTAGAGTTTTATCTTGTTAACTACCAGATCATTTCTGTGTAACCTTAAATATACATTATGGGAGATTAGATAAAGAGCTGGCAGTTCTCACTATAATAGTTAAAAACTAGATAATGCAAAGGGAATTTGCTGAAAATTTCAGTCAAATTGATCCACTCTGAACCAAGATTTTAGCGATTGGATTTTCGGCCTAGCCTCGATCATCATTACTAAAGTCGGTACGATAAAAAAACATAGTCTCAATTATCCATTTCATGATTAAATCAAGAATGAAAGTGGAGCAGAAAATGGTATCGTAATCCAGTAAACATCACAGGCTAGCGTTGACATCGAGAGTTGATTATGGTCGGGATAAGTTAATTAATGTCTAAATAATAATTTAGATAACATTTCAGGCCTAAAGA